AGATAGATAGATAGATAGATAGATAGATAGATAGATAGATAGATAGAGTTTGCTTGGGTTTTGGCTGTTATTTCACCTGCAAAATCAGAGAACTTTCCTACATACCAATTTGATCCGTCCCATATGCCCCTGACCCAGATAGACTCAAAAGAGCACAATAGTACCCAAGACATGTGGGTGCTTGAGAAATAAAAGCCCAACATTCAAGGCCTGACAGACTCTGGTTCTATAACATCCAAAATTCTAAACATTATTGTAGAAGGATTAGAAACAACTCAATTTCCTGCAAGTCCCTCTTTCTCAGTGGAGGGAATGTGTATGTTCATTAGGGACAAATTTTGCGTTCTATTTCCTAAGTTGTATACTCACATCAAAGAATGTCCTGCCTGATCCCCTGATCTACTCTTGTCTGGTTTCTTTGCTGCTTTAAAAAAAAAAAAGAGAGAGAGAGAGAAAAGGAAAAAAAAAATAAAGGATTTAACTCATTTGTAGACTTGTTTCCCTTGTTTCTGCTTCTCCATTTTTCGTATTTTTTCTTTCCTTCTTATTGTTCCTTTCTTTCTCACTTGTATGCTTTTTGTCCTCTGCTTGTCTTTTGTTTCACCTTTTCCCTGTTCCTCTCCTCTTCCAAATTCCTCTTTTTTTTTCTACTTTTCCTGCACCTTGTCTTTCTCCTTTTCCTTTTCTTCCTTGTTTGGTCCTTTGAAGTTGAGCCCAGTGGCGGGACACCACGTCGTAGACCTCCCTCCTTCTGCCCTTGCTGTGTCCATGAAGGTAATGTAACGTGATCCAATCCCGTTCCCACTGTCGCAGAGGGGTCATAGCACCATTAGTCAACCAGTGACCCAATTCCCAGATGTTTCTCTTTCATTCCCTTTCCCTTAAATCCCAGTAATCACCCTCTGTTGCAACTTTTTATGACTGTGGCAGTTTCTTAACAAGGTACAGTATCCCTTTGACAATTTGGCGGGGAAGATTAGAATATGAGAGTAGAGGCCAAGTCTTTAATTTGGAAGAACTCCACTGGCTGCCCAAAAAACTTGACACCTCCATTGTTCACTGGGGCATTTGATTTCTCTGATCTTTCTGAGAAGCCAGGGATACAGGTGAGAGAGCCTCCCACCTGTATGATTGTAATTTGCATTGTTGAAGTAAAGGAATACTGTGTCCTTAAAAAGACTGGTTTGCATAAACATCCTTAAGGTCTCTAAAACAAAAAAATTTGTACCCCATGTCTTGCTGAGTGTATTTTTGAATTTGTCTGATTTGGAGTCTGTTGTGATAATTGTCATTGCAAAGGCATGAGGGAAGGGGAAGGGGAGAATGTGATCGTGACTAACCTTGCTAACCTCTTACTCTGCTTTCCATGGCTCTCACATTGACTTTCATCCACCCTACCTTGTCTCATTGGCTGTGAACAATCTCTACTGTAGTTCATGAGGAGTGTCCAGTTTTCATTCAGTTATTTCTTTCTGTTGGAAGTGGGAAAGGAGACTTCTCCAATACCCTCTCATGACTCTGCCCCACTATATAGCTTGCATGCCTAAAGGTCCCATCTCCCTATGGCTATATGGGCATATTGTGCAGAGATGCCCAGAAAGGAATGCTTGGAACTGAGCAGATGGCTAGATTAAAAGCCAATAACCAAATCTATTGGGTTGGGTGAGGAGGGCATTATTCCCCCTAAGACATGGTCAAATGCTATATCAAGCAATATGGATCTGTAAACATGGTGGTAGCTTTAGTCTTACGGACTGGGAATCCATGATGGGACTTAACCTTGGGAGCAAAGTTGCATGTACAATGGAGCAGAGCATGGACACTAACTCACACTACTTGTGGGAATGCAATAGTAGACTTCTGCCTTTCCAGACTTTAGCCACCAAGTAAAGACCTAGCTATAACATCTTTTGCATTGGAAAAGCTATATTACCAAAAACAAATTTGCTTTTGAATGGTGTGCCAAGAACTTTAAGTATTGGGAGTATAGGAAAACAGGAAATAGAGAAGACCATGAAGTTCAAATATATCATGCACTTGGAAAGAATTCATGTTTGCCCAAGGAGGAAGGATATCTCTTTCTAAGGGAACACTGAATAATAATAGGTTAAAATGTATATTTTAGGGTTTGGATGTTGCTAGGATGACAGTGTAATTTTACTATAGAGTGAAATAACCAGCCAGGTGAGTCATAGGATAGGGATAGGGACTGGACCTGATTTCATTATTATAGGGAACTTCTAGGTGAGGAAACCTCCTCTGCAACTTAAAAGAGTTGCCTAGAGCACTGAGAAGTTAAGTGATTCACCCAGAGTCACATAGCCAGTAAGGGTCTAAGGCAGGACATGTACCAGGTCTTCCTGGTTTCAGGCCAGCTCTGTTCACTATGTCACAATGCCTACTGAATCATAGAATGGAAGAAACCTTAAGAGGCCTCAGACAAGACTATACTTAACACTGACCTAAACACAAGAATCCATGTTGCTTAAGAACTTCAAAGGAAATAATTCTGTAAGTTTTAGGTGAGCCCAGTTCCAGTGTTTAAGAAGCCTGGTGTGTCAATGTACCCTTTCCCACTCTTTACATACACCTGTGGTCTGAAGTGCTTCCGTGTCAGAAAGTTCTTCTTAGAACTCTTCAACTACAACTTAAACCGATTAAAATAAGAGGTTTAACTGAATAAGATCTCTCCTGGATGTTGTGTATTAAAGCAGAATAATTTCATTCTCAAATAGAAAGTCTGAAAACTGGACTTTGAATTGGATGGTGGAAGGTCTTTTTCTCTCATTTCTAGTGTCTGCCAAAGTTTCCATGCTCAGACACTAGCCAAACCAGGACAGGCAAAGTACCCTATGGGAGGGAGAGGTTGGTAAAACAATCAGCAGCAAACCAGGTTAAAAATAATCCTGTGCAAGAAAAGGCATCTTACTATATTAGGCTATCAGTGTATGTGACTCAAAAAGATAGGCAGGATGGGGAAGATTTGGGGTTTTTTTTGTTTTGTTTTGTTTTAAAGCGACCAAAGAGAAAACTCTTGAGCTGGGTTAGGACCAATAGAGAGAGAGGCACAAATAAGTCTGAGTCAAGGATAAGTTGGTGGTCAGAAGGTCTGTCAAGTGGAAATGAAAGAGTATGGATAAAATGAATGTCAGAAACCAATCAGAGATTGGTTGAAGGGGTGAGTGGTGGGCTCAGAGTGTTTCTGCAGTTCTCTTCTCATCCTGTGTGTTGTAGGTAAACTTACAGATCTGGCTTGGAAGTGTTCCAGCAGCTCTTGCTTGGCTCTCTTTGCACATTGGCCCCTGTGTTGTAATTCCAACGAGCTGGGAGATGGCAGCTGATTCTTTGTGTCTTTTGACAGGCATGGGGAAGAAGGATGATCCAAAGCTGATGCAAGAGTGGTTCAAGCTGGTACAAGAGAAAAATGCCTTGGTGCGCTATGAGTCAGAGCTTATGATATTGTGAGTGACCGGGCCTGTCCACATGGTTGGGGGGATGCAGGGGTGGAAGATCTGCTGAGGGGTTAGCAACTGCCCGAAGCAGAAAGAAGAGATGCTTCACTGTGGACATTACTATTTTGTCTTTGTTCCTCCTGATCCACTTTTCAGCGCCCGGGAACTGGAACTAGAAGATCGGCAGAGTCGATTACAGCAAGAGCTCCGGGAACGGATGGCCGTTGAAGGTAAAAAAACAACTTGGTTGTCGCGGGTTGGTTCATTCTTATCCGTGTCCTATATTTACACAAAGCCTTTGGCTTCCTCTGCAGACCACTTAAAGACGGATGAAGAGCTATTAGAAGAGAAGAGGATTCTGAACGAGATGTTAGAGGTGGTGGAGCAGAGGGACTCTCTGGTGGCCTTGCTCGAAGAGCAGAGACTTCGAGAAAAAGAAGAAGACAAGGATCTGGAGGCCGTCATGCTCTCCAAAGGCTTCAACATGAACTGGTCCTGAGGATCTGCTCACTCTCACTGGTTGGTCTTTCGTAGCCATTCGGCATAGGCTGGGCTCTCCAGAAACCCCTAGCTTGAGAGATCTGAGAAGGTCTGGCATTTTCTGAGAGCATACTTTCAAGTATCCATGTGCCTCTTCAACAGTGGAATTGAGCCTCATGTGTTTTGGGGAAAACCCTGAGCGAAGTTGATGAGCTGAGGGAATCCGGCCGCCCTGGAGAACCTGGCTCAAGGGGCCCACCTGAGACAGATGCACGGGGAGAAGGAAGAGCACAGAGTGATGGACGCTTATTATGGAAAACCCTTTATCCTCCCAAATGGACTACAGTTGGTCCTTTTCCCATTTCCTCTACTAACCTGTTCAATTAGAGAAGGAAGTGAAGAGACTCTCTCTTTGTTGACATCACTGCTACGATGGAGTTAACTTCCTATTGCAGGGGAGAGTCTAAGCAACCAAAGAGAGCAGCATTTTTACCTATTCTTCCTATAACCCCATGAAAGAAACCTAAAAAACACACCCTACCCTGAGAATACCCAAGAGAGTAAAAGTACCATTGTCAGGCTGGGGTCAAGCCATCCATCTTGGAGGTCAGGGTTGGTGACTAAGAGCTATCTCTAGGGAGGTCTCCAGAGTTAGCTCTACAAGTGAAGAGGGTACATAAGGGAACAACCCTACACTACACGATTTAGAGAAAGTTCATTTAGAGTGTGTGGGCCAAGCATCCCGTGGCCCAAGCACTTTCCTGTGGCAAGGACCCCAGGCCTGGGGAGTGCTACCTTTCACCTTTGTTTTGAATTGCAACTATTTTGACACTGGAAAATACTGACTTTGAGGGACGACGGGGTCAAGGTCCCAGGTTCCAGACCCCAGCTGAGGGCTGCCTCAGGACAGAAAGTTATTGACACTGTTCAGTACTTTAAGTTGGGAAAGGAGAATATGTTTTCCTTAATTTTTTTTCCTGTGTTTGCACAATGAAAATGAAGCAAAGACCTGACAGGACCCTCGGTCACTTTGAACCCTTTTTATTTTTTGTCAATTAACTTATTTTTTTTAATACTTGAAAAAAAGCAAGTTCGCTTTTTATATCTTTACAAGAAACACAAATCATTCAGTGCTCGAATGAGGGAGTGCCAGACATCTGTCTTACATCATTCGTCATCCAATCGGCAACTGACTGAAGTCTTGGTTATATGCATCTATTTATTCGTGTCGTTCGTGATATTTCTAGCTTGTTATTCTGGTTGGCTTCAGGGAATAGAACACAACCCTGTTGTGACCTAGTTTTTTTCTTGTTTTATCTGATGGCTTGTTCTGTGCCCTCTTGTGTGTCCTGTCCTGGCTGAGACCTAATCTTGGCGCCATGCCTCCTGACTTGGAGAATAGCATGTCTCCGGGATCCAACTTTCCCTTTCCTTCTGTGCTTCAGATTTGCAAATGGGTAATAGTCATGTGTCAGAGAATATATTTTCATTAATATTCAAGACAAAGCCAAGATTATGACACCAACCTTCTGTCCCCTACGCCGTTCCCCTCCCCCCTTGGTATCTCTCCTGTTGTGAGATCCTGGCTCTGAAAAAGCTGCTCTTCTCATATGCTTTTCTCACCAAGGGTTTCTCCTACTAAAAATACACTTATAAAAGAAGGTAGTGGAGTTAACCTTTTTTATTGAGTAGGGTTGATTGACATTGATGCATCTTAATCCAGTGGGCAGGAGCCTCACTAAGGAGAATTCCTCATACCAAACCCATTATAAAGAAATGCACAGGATATAGCAAGATTTTACTGGTAGGTTTGAGCAGAATTTCCAGGCAAACAGATGAACTACATTTGCTCCCCTCTTCTCCAGAATGATAGAGGGAAGCAAGCCCTAGAATCCTAGAGCTTATTAGCAGCATGCAAGCAGCGGCTTGAGCCAAGCTCACTGCAGTTTACCAGAGTTCACCCCAAAGTTAGCTTCTCAAAGTTCCCAGTTCCACTATAGCTTAAACCAACCCAGGAGTCTGATTGCTATCACTGGGAATATGGTGAACCCAGGGAAGATGTCGTCTTTGCCAGACCAGGTGTACTCCTTCCAACTCTTGATTAGGCTGAATGATGTCCATGAAGCCTTGGCACCTCTCAGAAGCAACCTATGGATAAGGAAAGAATCAGAGCTGACCTTGAAATTTATGTGGGGAATCATTTTGTGCCTCAACCATAACATCCTCCTTGGACCTCAGTTTCCTCCTCTGTAAAATGAGGGGGATTGACTAGATCTTCTGAGGTCCCTTCCAGCTCTAAACCTGTGAGCCTTCTTAACAATAAAGGAGTAGATTTTATCCCTTAATCCTTTCTGTCTCAAAGCTGCCATCTTTTCCTATGGAAATCCCCTGCTGACAAGCTGCTAGGTGTTACCACAAGCTCTGACTTTTATCCCTATCTCCCGTATTTCTTATAGAGAAGCCTCCAGTTTTGCTCCCTTTTCTCAAGAAGAAAGATGTTCAGTACTCTGCCTTTGAGTCCCCCAGCTTTCCATGAAATGGGGACCCCCTCCCCCCCATCCCCCCGTAGTATATTGGTACCTACTCTATAACTGACTGTGGCCTTCTCACTAATCTCACCACCCCATTGGTCAAGAGTTAAGGATCAATTCAGGATTAAATCCTAAATTAGTTAAAAGGATATCACGGTGGTGGTGATGATAATGCTTCAAGTAGCCTAACGTAGCAGCTTTCTCAGATGTTACTTTTAGAATGTGAATATTCACACCACTGCATCCTATTAAATCACAGTCTGTTTGCAGTCTCAGCCAGGGGAAAGTGGTGTGCTAAACATACTATGCATATAAAAGGGGTTTAATAATTATTTATGGAATTGCATTTGCAGAAAGAACATATAAAAAAAAAACTACAAGCCTGCAAAATGTTCCCTAGTTCTTCCAGTCAACAGTATTATGGCTTCAGTGTGATCAGTGGCAGGAAATGTATCAATTACCTGCAAAAAGTCTATGTTTTATATTTCCTTGTGCTTTATTCAGAGTCTTAATTACTCCTTACAAAGGAGCCTGAGCTCCTTTGAGTCCAGCCTGATATTTTTCAGGCTATAGAAGTTTTTTAAACTCCTATTTTTGTTAACCACTGTTTTGAAATTTTTCTTAGTACACAGGCAACATGAGTAGCATGAAAAGTTTCCCAGCTCTGGAAACATGTCATATCCTCCAGTTAAGCTTTCTTTCTGAGATCTTAGTTCCTGAAAAACAGGATCCCTGGTTCAACAGAAATTCCAGAATTGCTTTATAGTGAACACAAGCACAAAAAGACATAACCAACCACATAACAGCTTGGGGGTAACAGGATCCCCATTGTTTGAAGGGAAAACTCTGCCTCTGAGTCTCACGTATCACTTAGCAATATGGCTAGGTACCTCTCTTGGTTTGTGATCCTGCCCATGCTCAAAGTGGTGCCATCACTCTGACAGTGCCATGAGTTTGGAATCTAGCTTTGGTACCTTGCTCCCAGACTGATTCTAACCAGCACCAATGGAACAATCATCTACTCCCAACAAGCAGAAGTATTTTTGCAGTACGGTGAGAAGGGGGGAGAGTAGAAGAGGGAAGATATTGGACCTGCCTGACCAAGAAAAACGGTCCATTTTATGCACAATAAAAGTTTTAGAAAGAAATACATGGTGTATTTTTTAGGTATTTTAGTGACTATAGTTAACCACTCTGCATTTCCTTCACTGTAGTACCTTATTCAGGCCAGCAGACACAACTGTCTGAGAAAAGCCCATATTCACATATTTTACATATACACATATATTCATGTATACATGTGCATACATGGGAAAATACATGTTTTGTAAAGAGCATAACTTTTATTGGCATTTGTTCCTTTAATCCATCTGTAAAACTCCCTTCTCATCCCTTGAACTCCCACACAATTCAGTATCTGGCCATCATCATGGCCAAAAATGAACAGTCCTCCAGCGAGTTGGGACCACACAACACAGTTCACTTGTAAACAGAGATTCTCCATGAAGTTAAATAATTCATTTTGTCCAAGATCTCTTGCCAGAGCTGTTTCCCCCCTAACTAGATCCCAATCCAAGAAGTATCCTCAGGGGAAATGACCCAAGCTCCAGACGTGGTTCACCATCTTTAGCACAATTAAGCAAATGAGCTGCTACCCCATAGTTTCAAAACACATCCAGCCGATAGGAACGGATAGGTCCCTAGAATGGGCTAAGTCCAACCTTCCTTGGTTAGAAGTCAGTCCAAATAGAAATGAAAGGAATTCCAAAAATTTCTTCACTCCTTTCCACCTGAGGCCTTCTCTGCACCTTTTTCCAATGTTTCTCCTGGCATAAAATAAGATGATGTCACCTGCCAACTGTATTCCTCACTTTCCTGGTAAATCAAGACTTCTCTCCAAATTCAGCTTGCTTCTCGGAAACATAGTTGGTTCCATGATAATCAGCAAAACTACACACAAAAAATCTGTTTTTCTTTTTTAGTTGGAGAATAAGATGTGGCCATGTTTGACAAATGGAGGCAAGCCTAGAAAAGGTGAGTTAGAGGTCATCAACATGGATGCATTCTGGAAGCTAGAGCAGCTGGTTAACTAGGTCTTTGCCTCAAGGGAAAGAGAATCTGCCAGCTGTTCCAGAAATAGCAGAGGAAGCACAGGATGAGGATGACGTGAAGGTCTTAGTTAGAAAGGAAAGCAAAGAACATAGCCGGTGAGTTTGGACTGGCAAAGACAAGTCCTGACAGGCACCACTGCTTATCAGTGGGATTTTGCTACCCAGCTCAGTTTTTTATTTCCAAGATGAAACCACCTCTTCTCTACACTTAAAATATGTGGCATCTGATTGCTAAGACTCTGAGAGTCAACAAGCCTAGTGCTGTCATATAGGACACTGCAGGAGCCAGGTAAGAAGGAAGGCCCTGGGTGAATACTGTCTCATGGCAAGCATCCATGGGCTCAGGAAGAGGAAAAGCTACCATGAAGTAGTGCCAAGCTTTTGGTCTAACCTACTACACTGCCAGGCTCTGCTAGTCATCATACCTGGTTAAAGTGCACTAGTCTGGGGTAATCATGCATTAGGGCAGGAACAAGAGTAGACAGAACGATCTTGTCATTTTGTTCTGTTTTACTAGCCTTAATAGTTATTGTGTTGGGGTAAAGTGATTCCTCTTCAGCCTTCCAAATCCATTCCATCTCCTCTGTCAAAGTTGTCCAAAACAGTAGCTATAGAACCCCTTCAGGGGTGTCCAGTGAGGATGGACAGGTAGAGTAGTCCGAAGTGTTAGAAGGAAAATAGCGTCTCCTAGTCAGACTGGTCCTCTTCTTAAGCACCAGCAGTGAGCACTAGAGAGCAAGTTTTGTTGGTAGCACCAGAGAGTTAAACTGCCTTGATAGGCGCTCGATGTGTTTTCATGAAACCCCAGTAGACTGCCCCAAGATTTTGTTATGTGTGAGTTTCTTCCATCCTCTAAAGTAAATATGGCCCTGGGGTGGCTCCCTTCTTGACACACTTAATAAGATAGCCCAGCTCCCTCAGCATGAGGTTAGCCTGCAGCTGGGACTTTTTTTTTTTTTTTGGTGAATTAATAAATTTATTTATTTTTAGTTTTCAACATTTACTTCCACAAGATTTTGAGTTCCAAATTTCTCCCCATCTTGTCCCTCCCCCCCAAGATGGCATACATTCTGAATACCCCTTCCCCCAGTCTGCTTTTCCTTCTATCTCCCCCCCCTTCTCTTATCCCCTTCCCCTTCTATTTTCCTGGAGGGAATGCAGCTGGGACTTTAAAGGGAATGTTGAACCACTTCATCCAATCTCCACAGCAGCTGCTGCTTCAAGCACAGAGATGTAATGTAGGTGCCAGCGGCTGCTGCCTTAGATGGCCACTTATTGCTAGTAGGCAGAGCAGAGGACTATTCTTATAAGATGTCGTTCTTCAGTGCTCACCCCTTTCAGTCCAGGCACGACTTTCTTAACTTAGGAGCTGTCATTCCCAAATTTTACAAGATTCGGGATCTAAGCAAGAGCAAAATCTGACACCCTCCCCCACTTAGGCCTTCACAATAGCCAACTTTAGAGAACGTCCCAATATCCGAGAATAAAATGTAGTGCACCTATGCCGCTTCCACAGGGAATCTCTTAGCCCTCCATGTTAGAAAAGTTGGATCTCATATGACCAAGTTTTAGTAGCTGAACACAGGTCTGCCAGACTTCTACTAGATTTCCCCAAAATAGTTAAGATATTCGCCCCAGGTCCCAGGCAATATTTCCTTTGTAGATGATGCTCACCTTGTAGAGGGTAGCTCTCCATATGATGTTACCAGAAATGAAAGTGTGTGTTTAAGAGGGAGAGGGAGAACACAAGCCGCCACGGGTATAATAACTAGAAGTAGCGGTAGGTCAAGTACATGGAGAAATTAACATTCCTCATTTTGGCTCCTGCTTCTGTACCAACTTAACATGTGATGTTAGGCAAGTCATCACCTTTATATGCCTCAGTCCCCCTGACTATAATGATACCTACCTCATGGGAATGTTGTGAGGGGTAATAATTTATAAAGTGGTTTGATATCCTAAGGTGGATGGAGCCACATACGGTTTTGCTCTCAGTGGACGTTCTTGTTTGCATTAACA